AACCGTTCAAAAGAACTACAATTAAAAGCGAACTGTCACTGTCTATATCTATGCCTGACTGTCCACGTTGTGTTTGTGCAGCAGAAGCACGTGATGGTCGAGAGAAGCGTCCTGCTGAAAGGTCTTCAGCATCCGTTCCTGGTCGGACTCCACTTCTCTTTCCAAACACCCAGCACGCTCTACTTCGTCCTGGACTACGTCAACGGAGGGGAGGTGTGTTTATATGTCAACCAGGACAACTCTGCTCATGCTGGATATTTTCACGTAACTATCGCACACCAGAGAACAGAGTCAGCATGTGACCAGTCATCTCTTCCCCTCAGCTCTTCTACCACCTGCAGAGGGAGGGTTGGTTTCCAGAAGCTCGAGCTGCTTTCTACGCTGCAGAGACGGCTGCAGCTCTGGGTTACCTGCACTCTCTGGACGTCGTCTACAGGTGCATATATACAGACAGGTCACTGCACAGTCACTCCGTCGGGCTTTTCTTGGCTTGCCGCTCGCTCGCTTTCCTTGTTCATGTTTGATTTAAACTTGTTCGCATGTTTAATTCATTGGTGCAGAGAGATCCCCAAGAAACGTTTCCACTGACATCCACCGTGTTCTCCAACATCGCATTAAAAAGTAAAGACGTGAAACCAGAAGAAACTGAAACAAACTCTCCCCAAAACACACGGAGTGGTTACTGTAGTTTTTGTGGGGACCTCCAGTTATCTGGGGCGCCGCGAAGCCCGGGATGCAGCAACGGTGTCCCTGCAAAACGGGGCTGTACAATATACTGTCTGATGAGAAATAAGGCTAATTAACACATCAGGCTAGAACTTGTTTTGCTACTTCATGCTAAAAGAAACCTCGCATGGATCTCAATTTCTATGATTAACCTACAAGAGAAGTCTGACAGATCACAAGTTACTCTGATTTCAGAGTTCTTGGATACGCTGAGTTTTTAAACTTTATTTAAAAGACAGTTTGTTGACCTGCAGGCTTCACATGTGCGCAACAAAATGTGCAGAAAAAGTGAAAAAACCCAGAAGGATTTGCTCACAAAAACACACGAGTTGTACGAAAATATTTCAGGGACAGAAAGGACGATGTTGAGCAAAAACAAAGCAACTCAATGTATTAGTTTTAACATTTAAATCAGCTGCATAAAGTTCTGCAAAACCAGATCTGAATGTCATCCAAAACTGCTCTTTGTTTTTTTTTCTGACGCAGAAGCAATTAGATGATTCTTTCTAGTTTTATTTTACATATTTTTACTAAATGTGTCCTACTTGTTGCTCTTCTGCAAGGCTGTTAGCTTTTACTCCTTTTGGTTCATTCTCGTGTTATTGTAGCTGTTTCTAAACGATATGCGGCACAAGGATTTTTTAAAAAGGCCGTCTTATCTGGTGAAAATAAAAAATATCGCAGCCCTTCTGCAAAATAGTGTCAAGACAACATCTAAGTAGGGAAACAGCTGGAAGGTTGTGGAAAAGAATAAAAGTTAAATGAAGAAACTCACTGTGGTGGTACAGCTGAACGAGTGAAAGGTTATCCAGGGAGAAAATACAGCAAAAAAATAAAAAATAAACTGATTCCAAAAATCGACAGAAATATAAAAAAAAAAAAGAAAAACACAAAACAGAGGAGCAAGAAGAAGAATGACGGTCGAACTAACAAAAACAAAGGGAAAGACAGGACAGGTGAAAGTAATCAGGGCAACAAAAAAGGAGGGAAACAACAAGACAAACAAAGACAGGGAATTTCAAAATAAAACTGAACAAAACTCGAGGTTGGAAGTCTGTTTTGGAGAAACATTTGGGAGGCAAGAGAACCGCAAAAAAAATATTGCACGATCCAAATTCTAAATTGCACAACTTGCAGTTTTCAGTGCGTAGGTTGCAGCTCAGAGACTTCCTGCAGCTGTTATCAGGATAAATGGAGGGAAAAAGGAGGAGAAAGTCGTGTGAAGGGCTGCAAGATGGTTCGGTGGTTAGCAACATTGCCTTACAGCAAGAAGGTTCGCGTCCCGGTGAGGACACCCGGGATCTTTCTGTGGGGAGTCTCCATGTTCTCCCCGTGCAGCGTGGGTTCTCTCCGGGTTCTCTGGATTCCTCCCACACAGTCCAAAAACATGTTGAGGTTAATTGGTGATTGTAAATTATCCGTAGGTGTGAATGTGAGTGTGCTTGGTTGTCTGTCTCTAAGTGTGGCCCTGTGATAGACTGGTGACCTGTCCAGGGTGTCCCCTGCCTTCACCCTGAGTCAGCTGAGATGGATGAATAGATGGATGGATGGATGGATGGATGGATGGAAGTTGTGTGAAATGCAGAAATGTCCAGCTCATACCTGAAGTCTACATCTGGTGAGTCAGAATAGAAACTGAAGCTCTTGTTTCTGTGCAGAGACCTGAAGCCGGAGAACATCCTGCTGGACCGCGAAGGCCACGTGATGCTGACCGACTTCGGTCTCTGTAAAGAAGGCGTAGCCGTCGGCGGCATCATGCACACCTTCTGCGGGACTCCGGAGTACCTGGCCCCCGAGGTTCTGCAGGGACACCCGTACAGCCCGGCGGTGGACTGGTGGAGCCTCGGCATGGTGCTGTTCGAGATGCTCTGTGGAATAGTGAGTGTCTGTTATCTTGTTATCTTTCACATTTCTATGGTCTCACCTTCCTCCTCACCGCCCTGTTCTCTCCGTCTCAGCCTCCGTTTTACAGCCGCAGCAAAGCGGAGATGTTCGAGAACATCCTTCACGCTCCTCTGCAGCTGCACAGCAGGATTTCCGAAGCCGCCGGCTCTCTGTTGGAGGGATTGTTAGAAAGAGACGTCTCCAAACGCTTAGGGCAGAGCCGTGACGTGGTAAGTGCCTCCAAAAAAAGACAGAAATGGCGATTAAGACACAAAAACACGGAGTTAATTGTGTGGTGTTTCCAGGCGGAGCTGCAGGAGCATCCTTTCTTCGCCTCCACCAACTGGGACGACCTCCTGGTGAAGAAAGTCAAACCCCCGTTCATCCCCAAACTGGTAGGAAGCGAGTCCAAAGCAGTTTAGAATCCAGCCACAGTTCACCTGAGTTTGTGCTTGTTCCTCCCACAGACTGGTCCCTGTGACGCGAGCTACATCGACCCGGAGTTCACGATACTTCCGGTACCAGCCTCCGTGGACGAGCGGCACCAGGTGGCCACCGGCGCCAGCGAGGCCTTTTTGGGATTCTCCTTCATGAACCCGTCGGAGTTCGTGGCCGCGGATCCAGTTTCATAACAGCTGGGAGTGTGTTTCTCTTCAAATATTTATTTTTTATGTCATAAATTATTAAATGGAAATCTATTTTTAAGCACTTGAGCAAAAAGATTCTTACACTGACAGCAACGTGCTGCGTGTTACATCGGCGAGTAAATGAGTGTGTTTAGGTTATCATGAGTTTGTAATGATGGAATAGGCTGGTCACTATTTCATAAATCCTCTATTTTAATTGAGCAATAAACACTTTGTCTGGAGCAGTTTCTTTAACACTTCAAAATATACAGCAATACTGCAAAATTCTCTATTACATTCACAGCTTACTAAGGCAAATCCTTCACCGCTGCTGCTTAGAGTCATCAAAGCATCTCCGTTGCCATTAGATAAGTCCACTAAGGACGGACTGGACCCGGCTCGGACTTCTTTTTTTGAGCCCATCACTGTGGAGAGCATCTGGTCCCATCCTTTCTACCTCACTTCATAGCACCATTGGTGAAGTTTCTTGTCCTGCGGGGCAGCCGCTGGTCCGTCAGTAGATGCTGAAGGAGGCGTAGCTCTGCTCGCTCTGACACGAGAAGTAGGCGATCAGCTGACCGTTGCAAATCATCAGAAACAAGCCGCTGCCTGTGAGAACAAGGAAATGTAGAACTGAGCTTAGAAAGTTAAATTAAGCTGAAAAATTCTTCGTTTTCATGCAAAACTTTTATTTAGAGTGATTTTCTTTATTTGACTAAAAGGTTTCTTTTGGCTGGAACTGACAAAACTGCATTCTCTCAAAAGTTTGCAACGACTTATGACATTATGTTTTCATATAAATGCATTTAAAAAGCCATAGGAATACCTGACAAGTGACAGAATGACACTATGTTAGAGATGTTCGTGATCAAATTCAACTATTTCTGTTTTTTGTTTTTTTTTTACACATATTTAATAAAAATTTAGAACAAAAATTGAAGCAATCTTTGAAAAAAATGAGAAATTGCCTGGATTTTTTTTTTCAAAGATTCCAACAATTTTGTACAAACCTTGTGGTAAAAATGTGCAAAAAAAACAACAACATAGAAATAGTTCAATTTCTTGTCCATGGACATGCCTAATGCAACTTTCGTCACTTGTTCCTGATATATTTAGGTATTTCTACAGGTTTGTTTTTATGCATTTTTACTCAAACGTAATGTCCAAAGTTGTTACAAACTTTATTGCAAACAAAGAAAATAAAGACAAAAGTTATTGTAAGAAAATGTAGAACTGAGCTCACTAAGTTAAATTTAACTGAAAATGATTCATACTCACAGCAAATTTTGATTTAAAGGTATTTTTTATTTGAGCAACAGGTTTCTTCAGGCTGGAATTGACATAAACAACTGACTAGAGAACCACAGCATCAGCTGTTCTCAGATTATAGTGTATTACAATGCTCAAGAACATAATAAAAAAAAATAACCAGGATGATGGTTTGGAAGCTGCATTCTCTCAGAAGTTTGCAACAATTTTGGACGTTAGGTTTAATGTTAGGTAAAACTGTATTTAAAAAAACATAGGAATACCTTAGAAGTGACAGTAAGACACTGTGTTAGAGATGCTCATGGTCAAATTTAACTTATTTCTTTGTTTTTTGAAAACACATTTTTAATGAAAATGTAGTAAAAAATTTATGTAATCTTTAAGAAATTACCAAAAACATCATGAACTTACATGAGCTGCATTTTCTAAAATTTTGGACATTACATTTTTAATAACAGGTATTTTAAAAAAAAACACATAAAATTAGTTCAAATTTAACATTAACATCCCTGACACAATGTCTTACTGCCTTCTGTCACTTGCTTGTGATAAATGTAGGCATTTCTACTTTTTTTAAAACACATTTTTACTAAAAATGTACTGTCCAAAGATTAAAATACTACATTACAGGGTTTCGTCTGGCTGTGAATGACATAAAACATAAAATAAAATGCCGTAAGACACTGTGTTAGAGATGTTAATGACCAATAATGCCTTATCGAAAATGATTCATACCCACTAAAATTGTCTCCAAATTGTGAGAAAAAGCAGCTTGTATCCAAATCTAAATGGTCCTGGTTATTTGTACCATGTTCTAAAGCGTTCTAACACACTACAAAGTGAGACCAGCTGACGCAATAGTTCTCTGGTATGAATAGTGTGGAGGGTAACTGTAAGTTTCCAGAGGTGTTTTCTTACCTAAAGCCAGCCACCACTGCCACACCATGGGAAACTCCAACATCACTGCAAAGCAAAACACGCTGTTACAAAAATCACATATTGCGACGTAAACGTGGGCGGATGTTGCCGTTTTGTTTCTCCTCACCGAGGCTGGTGATGATCACATGCAGGAGGGTGACGGTGAGGGCGTAGTCCCAAACCCGCCTCCTCACCACCGCAGCGAACAAAAGGCCGCTACAGAAGTAGGTGAGCTCCAAGGACAGGAGGTTCACTGGGGGAGAAAACACATTATCACCGGACAAAGTTCACCCTCACCACTGATCACGCTGGCTGTCTTAAGTGTGCTCACCCAAGTATTTGGAGTTGGATTCAGCAGGTTCGGTCTTGAAGTCAAACGGAATCAGTCCGTCAAAGCGCTCCAGCCTAAATGAGGAAAAAAGACCAGAGTTGAGCGCAACTGTTTCTCTTGTTAACTCCCTGGAATCAAGTACATGGAGTCTCGGTACATAAACTGCAGGATTTGAGCAAAGTTAAGTCAACACTCCCTAAATCTGTCTCCTCAGAGCTGTTTTAAGTCAAACTCAGGCGCAAAGGTGGACTCAAGGCCAGACTAATCCACTGTGGAGCCCTGAAGCTGCTCCTGCTGCACCGTGCATGTGTCACGTTACCTTCACATGACCGCTAACTACAAACTACATTTCTTATTTCGGCATATCCACCATGTAAAGACATTAACAAAAACTGCCATAAAGTCTGTTTTGATTGAGGTAAAGTGCAGGATACACATAATAAACCTTGTGCATTCAGAAACTCATTTAAATCTACTGACATGCAGTGAACCGTGGGCGCTGTTGCCTATTTTAACATCTTTATAATATGCTGCTTGCATATTATTGTCATCGTTGGAGGTTTAAAGTGCCTGCAAAAACGTATTCAACCCCTTTGGAAGTTTTCCCCTGTTTCTGCTTTTCAACACTGAATGATGTTCAAATTAATTTGGCTTGGCTAATCTTTCATGTCAAGGTCAAAACGGATGTCTGCGGGCCGCTGTTATAGCTCAACTGGTTGAGCTGGCGACCCGGGTACAGGAGCTATAGTCCCTGACACAGTATTCATGAGTTTGAATCCAGCCCATGGCCATTTGCTGCAGGTCCTTCCCCTATTCTTCTCCCCACTTTCCTGTCTCTCTCTCTACTGTCCTGTCAAATAAAGGCAAAAAGGCAAAAAAAAAAGTCAAACACTAAATGTAAAATAAGTGACTGCAAAAGTATTCACCCTCTTTAAAGTGACTATTTGAACACAGGTGCAGTCAGTTGTTACTATCCATCCATCCATTATCTATACACCGCTTCATCCTCACTGGGGTCGTGGGGGGCAGAAAGATCCCGGGTGACCTCAACAGGTCGCGAACCGGCCACCTTCTTGCTGCGAGGCAACGTTGCGAACCACCGAGGCACCTTACAGCCCCAGTTGTTGCTATAAGTCCCTTAATTAGTGAAATAAAGATCAGCAGAGTGCAGTGAATGTGTCTCAGTGATTGTAGTGTAAAGATTCTTGTATCTGGACGATCCAGACACTTAGTGAATCAATACTCTTGGATATAACTACACCATGAAGACAAAAAACACTTGAGGCAACTCTGTGAAAAGGTTATTGAAAGCATCAGTCAGGGGACGGAAACACAATAATTTCCAAATCACTGAATATCTCTTGGAGTCCAGTTAAATCCACCATTAAGAAACGGAAGGAATACTACTCATGTGTAAATCTGCCTAGAGCAGGTTGTCCTTAAAAAACTGAGTGACTGAACAAGAAAGAGACGAGTGAGGGAGGCCACAAAGACACTATGACTCCTCTGAAGGACTTACAAGCTTCAGCTGCTGAGACGTGAGAGACTGTTCATACAACACCAGTCAAAGCTTTACAGCAGGGTGTCAAAGAGAAAGCCACTGTCGACCAGAGTTCATGAGAAGGCATGTGAGAGACTCTGAAGTCAACTAAAAGAAGGTTCTTTGGTTTGATGAGACCAAAATGTAGCTTCTTTACCATCAGACTAGGCAGCATGTTTGGCAAACACCAAACACTGAACATGAACTGAGCATGGTGGTGGCAGCATCATGAAGTGGGGATGTTTCTCAGGAGGTTGCCCTTAAAGGCTTGTAGCGGTAGAGGGTAAAATGAATGCAACAAACTATAAGGAAACCTGATAGAGTCTGTAGGAGAACTGCGACTCGGGAAAAGATTTGTTCTCCAGCAGGACAATGAGCAGAAGCAAACAGCCAAAGCTCCACAGAAATGGTTTAAAGATAACAAGGTGAATGTGCTGGAGGCCGAGTCAAAGCCTGGACCTTAATCCAACTGGGAATTCTGGCTGAACTTGAAAAGAGCTGTTCATATATGATCCCAGAGTAACCTGACAGAACTGGAGCAGTTTTGCAAAGAAGAATGGGGTAAAACTGCAGCTTCCAGATACACAAGGCTGCTTGAGATGAACACAGGCTCAGTGCTGTAACTGCAGCCAAACTGCTACAATACTGACTTGAAGGGGGCGAATACTCATGCAACCACTTATTTTACTTCATGATTTTAATATATTGACATTACTTTGAGGAAATGTGTTTTCAAATTGACTGAAAGACTCTAGACTCTAAGCTAAATTGACTACAATTCAATTATGAAAAGCAATAAAAGAGAGTAACTTCCAAACAGGTGAAATATTTTGTACATTCAGAAACTCAATTTTTTTCTACATATATGAAGATCTGTTTAATATTAGTAATTTTCTATTTACAGAAGAATTTGTGCAATGTCAGTATTTTCTATATCGGTATTCCTACTCTTGGAAGAACCTGTGCATGAGCTTTGGTTTTTATACATAAATATGTGCAATATTGTTATTTTCCACATTCTGAGAAATCTGGGTCATGTCTGAATATCTACATGTTGGAAAATCTGTACAATACCAACAGTACTTATGTACATTTATTGTGCAATTTGACTGTCTATTGGTGTTGAAGACTCGTTTGCACTATCCAATTTATTTTTATCATGACAACTCTTCCTATAATAATTCAGCTCATAAAAAATGTGCAATGTATGTGTTGCTCCTTAAAGACTCCCTCCAGTTTTAGAATATATAAAAATACACAACACTGATTTTTGGAGTTTTATGTTGGAGCAGATTTTAAAAAGAAATCTTCTTTGCAGCTTTTATGTTCCTATGTTGTGGAGTAAACGCTCTAAATCCTGAAATCTACACCTGTGCTCCTTGTTATGGAACCTCTGCTTGCGTGTGCCAGTGCGCATGCGTGGGAAGGACTCTCACCTGAAAGCGCCGAAGCACACACTGCCGATCATGTAGAAAAGAGAATAGAATATGAGCAGACACAGCAGCAGGTTGAAGAGCACCGTCTGAGGGAAGGAGACGGTACCAATGTCAGAAACAGATACGCAAAACAGCAGCTGCAGTGTTTCAGAGGAGGAGATGTGCGCCGCAGGTGAGCAGACGGACTTTTATCTGCTGCAAACTGACCTGCTGCTGGATTATAATAAGTGAGGAATAGTGTGCTGCATCAGACAGCCCGTCCACTCACATGAAATATATATATTTAACCATCTTAAATCGCGCACCTTCCCCTCTGTCAGCCCACACTGATCACACTTGACGCAGACGAATCGATCACATAAATCATGACACGTTTTCTTACCTTCGAGTCCACCGCTGCGCCTTTGAATGCCATCTCATGGTTTGCACTGGATGCTTTATTCCCAGGCTGCAGCAGGCGGCTGCACGACCCCGCTAATCCCCCCGCAAACTGGGCTCCTCCTGCCATCTAGCGACAAACGCACGACACCGAGCTGCGCCGCCGCTTTTTTCCTGCTGAACTCATTTCACCCCGACTAGGGCGGCCTTTGTTGGCTGGAAAACACACTTCTGACATGCATGCGCCGGCCAGCCCGCAAATATCAAGTTAGAATCAGCTATTAAAGAGACCCTTGTGTCTGGGTTTAAGGAAGTAGCCTCACATCTGCAGGCTTTTTGCACACCAGGAGGAAAACAAAACCGGAAAATGTGGGAGGGTTCAATACTGCAGGATCATTTGTTGCACCAAACAAATACTTCCAACCAACCCGAAGCCTCAGAATCAACGAATGCATCATGTCACGTTGGATGAAACCGTTTATTATCGTGTGTCCATCAGCCTGGAAGTAGCACGAAGGCGCGCTGTATGTTGAATAATGTTGAATTTGGGCGCATTAGGAGGAGTGCTGCTGCTGCTGCTGCTGCTGCGTTGAGGTTACATGAGGCCACAGTCACACACAGCAGCTGCTCTGAGCTGCAGATGTGTTCAAGAGCCAAAATCCGTCCAAGCATCAGTGTAGCAACGTATTTTTGGTTCAAAAAATGCCACTCGGGGTCATTTTACTGGCCTGAGTATTTAATCCTACAGTTAGCACGGGTGTGTACCAGCAGATTATCCACATTAACAGGCTATTTAACGATTCTGAGAGCTGGGAGGAGGGAGAAGTGCAGATTGGGTGCTGATAATTTGTGAGTATTTACATGTAACAGACACTTTCAACCAATCTTCAGGCCTCCATGCGAAGAAAATAATGATCAAAAATCAAATTAAAATGGGTGATTGTCATGCGTCTAGCAGCCTCGAAGTGCCACGAACGCATGAGGAAGCACTGCAAGTTGAATTTCAACCAAAATATGAACCTTTTGGTGTTATTACATGCGACTATGTGCCAGCCTGAGCCGGCTATTTAACGATTTGGAGAACTGGGATGACTCAATACTGTAGGTTAGTTAGCTGTTGATTATTTGGTTAAACGTGAATAAATGCACCCCACAAATATTTATATTCAATCTAAAGCTCCCCAGACACTGAATGCATCCTCTCTTAATGAAATAAATTGATTATTACTGTGTGTCCAGGAGCCTAGAGGTGCCATGAACGCATCATGACGCACTGAATGTTGAATAGTACTGAATTAGAGTCAAAACATAACCTCATAGGGGATATTTAGGCGCATTAAATGTGGTTATATGCTGACCCGAACTGGCTATTTAACGGTTAGCTGCAGATAATTTAGTTTAACATGACTGCTTACACCCAGCAAATACTTCCAATCAATCTAAAGGCTCACACACAAAGAAATAAATGATCTCAAGTTGAATTAAATGGATTACTACCATGTGTTCAGGAGCCCAGAAGTGAAATGGATGCGTCATGGCACGCTGGATGTTGAATAATGTTGAATTTCAGCCAAAAATATCACCATAAATGTGTTGTTTTAGCGCATTAGCTGCGGCTATGTTTAGAAAAAAAAGCCAATACGTGTCGATATTTAACTATATTGAGAACTAGGAAGGTTCAGTACTGTGTGTTAGCTTCTGAAAATCGGGTTAAACGTGACTATTTGCACTCAACAAACACCAATATTCAATCCAAATGTCCACAGACACGAAATGCATGATGTCATATTGAATTAAATGGATGGTTACCATGCGTCCAAGAGCCTGGAGGTGCCATGAACGCGTGATGGCGCACTGTATAATGAGTAATGTTGAATTTGAGCCAAAATACAACCATTTTGTGATATTTTAGCGCATTAGCTGTGGTTGGAGTTTGAGTGTAGTAACGTCAACACGTGTCGACATGAGCTACAGATGTATTTAAGGCTAAAACTAGTCTTGTTTCCTTTGTTGCAACGTATTCGGGTCGTTTTGGTTCAAAATGTCACTTGGGGTGATTTTACAGGCCTGAACATTTAATCCTGCAGTTAGCACCAGTGTGTACAAACAGATTATCGACGACTCGTGCCCCGACTGCATCCACACAAACTGTCCGTTTAACGTACAGTTTGTAGAACTGGGAGGTAAACAAGCAGTTTGTCCACCGGGGAACCCACCGCTCCTCAGCGGTAGTGCAGACACTGCGGTCCCAGCGCTCCGCTCGCAAACACTTCTTCGGGGACACTTTGGCAAAAGAGGGAGATCCGAGCTCCAGCTCCAGGGTGGTGTCTGCTCTCCCCTGCTCCGAGCTGAGTTTGGGCCGCGCTGCGAGTGTGCACAGGCCCGGTACTGACCGCCGACAGTCAACTGAACTTTTCCGAGACCCAAAGTTGTCAGGCAGCGCATCTTGCACGCATGCGCACCGGTGTATCCAGCTCTAAATAAGAGTTAAAACAGAAACGAGGTGAGTTCCACAATTTTCTAAACAATGCGACCGTTAGCGCTCATTTATTGCCGTCAACGGGACTGAAAATGGAAAAACCGAGCTTCGTTTTGCCAATTAGTTCGCGTTATTTCCACTCTGATTTAAAACGGCGAGAATAAATCAAGTTTCTATTGAAGAAATTAATCAAAGCAACAATGTTGAAGCCCGTAACTGTGGCGGGGGCTTGTTGTGAGTGTATGCGCTGTTCTGGCGGCTATCGGCGCCATGCAAATGCGTTTTCCTCTTGTTATTTACCGGGAAACTTATTTATTACAGATTGTCCTTAGCTGGCTGCATCCAGTCACAATGCTAGCCGCCTAGCAGCCGCCCGTTCATGTGAACGGAGCGGGGCTAGCTGCCTGCTAGCTTCGTGCCTGCGCTAGCTAGCAGCAACCCGGGCTGACATTCCGTGACAAGGGGAAAGTGAAGAAAAATACCGAGAGCGAACGAAAACACAAAGTCCCGAAATTACACCGCAAGCGTTTGCTTCTGTTCGACGCGTAGCGGCTTTGCGGGATTTGTTTAAACCGCTAACTTGAGTAATTAACATAGTTTAAACGTGTTGGTGGCCTCTTCCTATGCTCCGCCATTTTGTATAATGCTAATCATGGGCGCTCTTACACTTTATTTATGGCTGGAATAAAACTGAGGCGTTCAGTGCAAAGTCAAACTTCACCGACATCCATTAGCTCCGACTGTTGTGTACTTTTCACAAGGTTACGGCCGCCGTGCGAGCAGAAAATACCTCCTTAATTCAGTGTTGAACATGCGTCAGGACTAAAACGTTATATCGTAATATTAGACGCATTAAAACGCTGTTAAGTTTGGCCAGTGAGCGCAGAAAACAGTGTTCTCCTCAGAATGGGTGAACAAATAAGCCCCTCGCTCGTTCATAGCCGGGCAAACGGAGGCTTTTAGGAGATACAGTTAAAACAAGGAAAAGATGAAGTTGTGTGGCTAACTTAAAGTTGACACACCTTTCCTCGTGTTTGTCACTGATCTGGATGGAGGTTCACCCCAATGAGGCCGCTTGTGCACGTTTTTCCCCGTTAGTTGACCAGCAAAACAATATTATTATTGACTGTTTTGTCTGAAATCGAAGTGCATGGTGTATCCTGCAAGGCTGCACGCAGCCTCCATCTAGCGGTGATGCTGCGACACGCTGTTTACAAGTGCAGCCAGAAACTGCATTTGTAATGTGAGTCTCTTGTGTAGATGAAAACTGGAGCTGCACGACACTGGAAATGCATGATACTGTGTTATTTTGTGTTTTTCAATGTGAAGAGATGCAGGATTGTTCACTAGAAGTCTTGAATATCTCTATTTGGAAA